TTTGCTTAAATTGTATTTTACAGATAGCTACCGTAGAAGAGTATTTTCTAAAGATGCTTTGTTCATATTTTATGTAATATTGAGAAAGTATCAAATATTAATATGAACAAATATAATTTTTCATGACATTAATTTGGGATACTTTTTGGAGGCTGATGGAGACAATGGGAACCTAAAACGCCCTTCCTTGTAATACAGTCCAGCATGCCCATTTATATGTGAGTGGTATTTTCATTATATGATCTTGGACATTCTTACCTGGGCATGCCCACATTTTCTTGCCTCTTTTTCCTTTGAAATATGCCTGTTCAAAGGGTTATGCCAGCATGTCCTGGAACACAGTTACTTCATCTAAATTATTTAGTAGTTGTAAGAATAAAGTCAATTATGAAAGCTGTCTTTCTTTATAAACTCAAGAAGTTTGGTATGCAAATCTGACCTTTGATGACAACTATGTTGGTAGATGATCTAGAAAAGACAGGAAATGACTTACAGCGGAGGACAGACAAACTCATCCTCACAGTGGTCTGTGTCCCTTCTCCTCCTTTAGGACCTCACATCTTCTACCCAAAGTGCCCACGATCCCAATAGGCCCCCCGTTTTCCTACTATTGTTGAGTGATTTATCAATACTGGATTGAGAGCATGCAGTCCCAGATATCATTCTTAACTGTGATATCCACTGTGAGTCCTTTAAAAAAAAACGCATGCTGTTTCTCTAAATCTCACTTTTGCATCTGTAAAATAACAATAATAAAACCACCCTATCTATATCAAAGGCCTGTAAGAGGCAATGTACATAAAAGTTCTCCTGCTAAAAGAAAATAAATAAATAATATGCAAAAATCCCTGCATCAGCAAGGCATACAATCTGATGGAGGTTTTCTTTTTTTTAAAAGCAATTTATTGGCCTAAATAATCTTAGTGTGGTAGAATAGAGCAGTGTGATACATAGTACAGAGGAGTATTATCTGTTGTTTCTTACCCTTACCTGTTTTGGATTACTATTGAATCCCACCCACACCCATTCCCTGACTATGTTACAACTCAGCCTTCCAGCAACTTAACACAGCACTCCTAAAGGAATACCTAAACCTTGAGATATATCCAGATTCGTACAGGGTGAATCTTCCCCAACTGAAACTCTGTACCCATGAAGTACTTACTTCCCTTTCCCCGCTCCCCCCAGCCCCTGGCAACCACCCAGGGTGCATAATTTTACTTACTAGCAGTACCGGATAAAATAACACTAACTGCTATAACAAATAAGCCCTAAAATGTATAATGGCTCAAAACTATTTGACTCTATACAGTATAAAAAGGATGCTCCTGATTGATAGGCAGTTCTTCTCCCAGCTCTTCTCCAGAATTCTTGCAAATTTTGACTCCTCTGTCATCAATATATGGCTTCAAAGTCACGGTGCTTGCCTTCGTCAAGCGCACAGGTGGAAGAAGAAAACATGGAGTAAACCACGTCTGTGGTTTTTCTAGGCCAGGCCTGGAATCAGCACACATCCAGTACACTCACACTCATTTGTTAGACTCAACCACGTGGTCTCATCTAGACTTCAGGGAGGCTGGAAATGCACTCTAGGACATAAAGGAGAAGAAATGAGTTTGAGGATGAGCCAGCCAATCTCTGCCATATCAGTCATTTTAAGAGTGCGTGTATCTGCCTAGGAATCACTATTCATGCTCTTAGAACTTTTGTTTTTATTTTCCTCCTTGGAAGCCTAATTTGCCCTGGCAGAAAAATAAGCTTCATTTAAAATATCTCCCAAAACAAAATAAAACCAAATGGCAAAATTAAATGTACATATAATTCCACTGAGAGGCAAGAGATGTTATGTAGAAACAGAAAGCTTAAGAAACAGTCGAGTAGCTTAGAGGAGTTCCTTCTTCACCTGTTCAATTATCTGAGGCCAATGAGCATATAAATGTCTAGAATCACATCTCCTTAAAGAACATTTTAGTAGTTTTTGTTTCTTATATGTCAGCATCCATATCCATAGGGTTTGTCTTCTCTGAATGTGTACTGTAAATCTCACCATGATCGGCCAATTAATTTATTCTTTTGGAACCACTGAGGAAGTTTTTAATTGGAAAATGAATTGGACACGTGGAGATGTGGCTTGAAGAACAAGGCTAGTAGACGTGCTGCAGTTTCTTCTCACGCAGAAGGGAATCTACTTCCTCTCATTAAATGCACGCAATGTAAACTCAGGAGCTCAAGCCTCACACACATCATCACTTAGCATGTGCCTTTTCCTTTTGTACAATGAAAGAAAATGCATAAATGCATTTGTTGGCAATACTGACAAAGACCGATTTGTGGAATAATTGAAACCTTGATTTCTGTCGTTAGCCCGATGTTTACGAAATGCATCTTCCTATCTACATTCCAGATGCTTCTTCTTACATAGTTCTTTGTCATGAGTTTTGAATTCTAAGCTGTAAAGTGTCAAGGGAAAAGATTTTAGTTTGCAAGTTTCATGGGATTGACATACATATGAACTCCCCAGAAACCCTGCAACATTTGTTTGCAGCTTCTTCCAGTTTATTACCTGTAAGCCTCAGAGGTGGTGAATTACTTGCAGAGTCAATACTAAATGAGTAAGCAACCTTTAGGTCCACCTCATTCCTCTTGCTCATGAATAAAAGCTTAGGCTAAAAGTATTCGTGTTGGAATAATCTTTCCCTAAAATTTTTGTTTCTCAGGGAACGAGCATTGAATACATCCCAGCCTGGGTCCCTACAGCTTACTGTGGGAAACCTGAAGCCAGAAGCCATGTACACCTTCCGAGTTGTGGCCTACAATGAGCGGGGACCAGGGGAGAGTTCTCAACCCATCAAAGTGGCCACTCAGCCTGAATGTGAGTATGAAAATGGAAAACAGCATTTAGAAAGTATTTATTTTCGCTTGCAATATCCTTGAATTGTTTTATAGAACTGTTTTGAGAGACAGAATGGAAGGAAGATTTTTGAAGCAAATTTTTAACTCACGGATTTTTCAAGGTAAGATAACTTTTTAACAGAATGGCCTCCCTTCTTAGGCCATGTCCCCATAATGACAAATTAACAACTGTAAAGGCCTAATCCATCCATCCAGTCTACATATTCACTTCCTAAGTAAGTGACTGACTTACTCTACCTGCCAGTGTTTCATCGTCAACATCAGATTTCGACCTCTTCCACTGATTTTTGAGATTTTCCAAGTTTGCTATCAAGAGTGCAACATCAAAGGTAAAAGAACAGTGGTAGGGCTTCTAAATACAGGAACTTGTTAAAGAACTTAAACATGCGCTGAATGGACTCACGAAGCTTCCAAAAGTGAAACTAGACTCAAGAAATGTAGAAGGATAATCTCTGTTGGGATCTTACAGTCCTCTAACTTAAATCACTCTGTTAAGCTACGTGATCACAAAGTAAAGTGGCTGAATGTTCTTTGACCAAGTTATAATTCAGTGAGTTCTATCTTTATAAAAGAACAGCTCCAAAACTGTACATTTGAAAAATATGTCTGTATCTTTTAAGTTTTGTTTTTTCTACTAAACTTCTAATGTTATTTGAAAAGATTGATTACTGATGGGCAGTTTGATAGCTTGTTGTGTTTAAAATTTTAAAAACTGTAATCTAAAAGCTAACTGAAGTGAATGACTACTTGTAACAAACTACATTATTTAGACACCTAGCTGCATCTACTCCTTTTTTAAAAATTATTAATGATGTTATTTTGTTGGTATTCCTGTTCATTTTATTTAAAGCTATGCTTAACTTCAAAATCACCTCAAATGCTTTTGGAAGAAGGGGAAATAGAAATTAGAAATATTTTAATTGGTAGATGTGAGAAAATAATCTTTGCACTAGGTGACTTCTTGGGTATTTTAAATCAGTGTGTTGAAGAAGAGAGAGCAAGAACATGCTGTCATGTAGTCTGGGTGCTGGTATCATGTTCTACACTTGGCACAATCTTCATTCTTTCTTCCACTTAGCCAACGCTATGGAGACAAGATGATAAAGTATTTATTGGGGGTTGGAGAAAGGGCTAAACTGTACTAGTCTTAGAAATATTTGCCTCACAGATATAAAACCTCAGATATACTATACTTTTATGCCTTAAAAGCATAGTAATGTACAAGTTTCAGACAATTATTAGGAAATGCAGGCACCCAGACAGGACCAGCTAAAGAATTTGCCAGAACCATTAGCTACTGCAGGGCATTAAGCCATGCTCCATGCAGGACCCTTCTAAGCATAAAGCCGTGGGCAGTTTCACTGGTTGTATGTCCATGAAGCTGGTCCTACTTCCAGCTTTCTGTTCTTAAGAATATTTTGTTGCTGTTTGCATTTAAATCACGAGATAATGTGAATATTCACTTCACAATGTCTATGTCTACATGCCATTTGAGTCATCAATTTCTTCCTTGACTTAGTCTTCATGGATCATATGTGCATATAGAATCAATAACTTTTATCAATATTTGGTATTTTTAATCAATAAAGTTGAATAATTAGGTCAAAATATATATTTTTAAAAATGGTACATGTCATGTTGTATACAGACTGAGTTTAAAAACTCATCAAAAATTCTGTAAAGAAAATTCTTGTTCAATTTTCTGTTAGCACTTAAACTTTAAAAGCATGTTCATTTTCAAAAGATCCAGTTTCTGTGGATTATCTGAATTCTTCACTTCCTAATCGTAATATTATTCTTAGAATTGTTTTAATGTACATTTGAGGGCTGACTGGTCGTAATTACATTACCTTTCTGATAAAAATCCCAGGTAGTCAGCCTCGCTTTCTAAGACTGAGCAACATTATTTTTTTCTTCCCTCAGTACCGTTGTTTCTAAGTACACAGCTTAAAAAATCAATTTCCAGCATTTTTTTCTTTTTAATTCACTCTTTCTATGCCAACCTTTCCAATCCAAGTGACAAGAAAGTATTTTCCATTTTGACAGTGACTAATAATAATGCCTCGTTTTGTGAAAAAATTAATCATGATAAATTTTCTGCCATTTATAATTAATAAAAAAATCCATCAGTAATTATTTATATCACACATATGGCCTTAACTTTATAAAACAAAAACAATGACATAATTCAATTTGTCAGTCTGTTTAATGAACACCTACGGTGTCCTGTTACTGTTCAAGGCCGTCTGAGGCACATTTGAAAAGCATATGTGTGCAATGAAGTAGCAGCACTTATGGGTCTCAGAAGCTTCTGGAGGAAGCAAATATTCTAAATGTGTAACAGTAACAAAACGACTAAAGTAAGGGAACTTGTAAGAAGTTGTTAAATGAATATTAACAATCTGAATCAGAGATTTGCTTATGGACTCATTATCTGTGATGGCTGGGGCATATTATCTGGCTAATATTTTATGCCTAAAACATATTGTGCCTGCCTCCTCAATTAGGTGTTGTATTACAAAGACAGCTGCCTGGCTCCTTTGTATTTCGTGCGTTCCTGCTCATTCAGAAAGCAGTCTGAGAATCCGTGCAGAGGACCTCACTGGCGCTGGTCTCTGTAAGCGTTTACTTTGCTTAAAAATTAGCATAAATGATGATAAGACAAAATAAAAACTAAATGCCTGATTGAATAAAATATGTTGCCTCTTTGGTATTCTTCTCATATAAGTTATCTTTTTTCCAAAAAATGAAAATCGAGAATCTTTCTGCTTTAGAAACATGAAGGAGCCTTGAATCTTTTTCATTAAGGGCAGCGTTAACGGCCTTAGAATGCTAACCATATTTTGGCCTTAAATAACAGCATTGTTTTATTAAATCACCTCTTCTTACCACTGTATGAAGTAAGAATTCTCTCCTTTGCAGGCCATTGTTTATTTGCATGGTGATGATTCTGTTTCATTGAGAATTTCCATTGGATAATTTATCTCTTACTGAGTAGATAGAGAGGAACAACTCAGCACAGATAAACAGTATATCCAAAATATTCTTTACATGTGCAAAACAGTTAGCCAACTCCTTCAATTCATTTAGATTAAGAGTACTGTGTAGTTCACTTGCTGTCTTTATTACAGACAGGATAAATTATGTTATCATGACTAGTAAGTACTACATGTGTATTTTATCTTCTGTTGTTAACACGAAATGCCATTTTGGTAATTTAAAAATATTTCTAGGTTAAGGAACACGTCATCTTCTCCAAGCCTGCTCGGTAATACACCAATTGCTGTAGAAGGTGGAACATCTTAGAGATCCTGTGCTTCATTTCTTCCCCTCTCCTCCCCTCCCCTCCCCTCCCCTCCGCTCCTCTCCACTACCTTTATCTCTCCACCCTACCACCACTCTCTCTCCTTCTTATGAGCCCATCTTTTGTCTTCTTAGAGGAAGTACAAAGGCTGATTTTATTATTTGGCTAGAATATCAGAATTTAGAGGCAAAGGGGATGGGGACTTTTCCATCATTATTTTTCTCCCTGACAAAATGATCTTATCTTTGAAAGTGGGTCTCATCTGGGTATGCCTTTGGTTGCTCCTTTTATCACTGTTTTTCCAAATATGATGAGGTAGTGATTGTACGTTAAAATTACATAGCTTTTATACAAATTGAATTTCAAGTTTTCCATATTATTTGAAAATATAAGCTCTATTATGAAAACCATATTCTCAAGGAATGAACACTGATGGAAAATATGTTTGAAATATAAATCAGCCAGCAACTGTTTCTAAAAGTGCATACATTCTGTAGTAATCATTTAAAGAGATCAACAGCCCAAGATCCACTTTATGAAATAATCATCCAGAATAGAAAGGCTTGATTTATAGGAAGGTTTGTGTCTCCTGATTATATCTTCTTTTTGCTAAACCCTTGCTCCTTCCCCCTGCCTTTATGGTGTATAATTTCTCCACTGTATTATCAGCCGGATTTAAGTCCCTGCCTGCTCAAGACTTGTCTAATCTTTTCCTACCACATGTGGAGAATTTTTGAATTATTATTTGGGGTCCTTTAAGATGCTGTTAAGGCGGTTTAATCATGAAGGATGTTAAAATGGACCCCATACCGACTTGAGGCTTGAGTTAGAATGGGAAGCCTATTTGCTAGACCACAACCCAATTATCCACAAAACCCTTTTATATTTAAGAGTTGTAAGTAATATTCTTAGTCCATTATATTCTTTATACTGAAAAGATGAGTGAAAGCAACCCCAGAAGTCAAGTGACTTTAGAATTATATTATCTAGACTTTAGAATAGACATATTTGCTTTTTCCCTCCTTCCTTGGATTTTTTTTTTTTTTTTTTTTAAATTCTAAAACACATCTGCTTGTATGGTTGTTAGGGAGAGAACAGAGAAGTCCCCAAACATTATGTCTCCACACATTACTACTGATATCCTAGGGCAATTTTCTTAATACTTGAGACCTCAGTTTCCTCAACTATCAATTGGAGATAGGATTTCCTCTTCCTTTTCCTAGGTTGTGAAGGTGAAACATGATAACATATGGGAAGTCCCTGCCCTGCACCTACCAACAGTGGGACACCCAGTAGAGTTATCACTGAGGTGATAAGTCTAATATAATACCTTATTGACAGTTTAGAACTGGCTTGATTACTATACAATCAGCCATTTATAAATTTTATTACTTTCCCCCTAATTATCCTCTTCCTATAATTTATCAGGCACTTACAGATTAGTTTGTCCTCTAATTTTGCCTAATATACATCTTTTCAACCCTAACTAAATTTTGAAGTCTTATGACCAGAAAATACTCTATTATCCCATAAAATGCGTCACAGCGTTGCCATTTTATGAAGGGCTGGTTGGTTAAAATTTGCTGGTAGAATCTGATCCATACTTAATGTGTGGCAGATATATTAAATATCAGTTATATTTATTTCATTATGAT